GTCTTTTATGTATGGAAGAGCAGGTTCAAACTTGTCAGCCAAGAGTGGTTTATCCTGGAGTCAGCCTATTAGTTCCAATGCATTTAACCCAAATTAAAATTTCAAAATGCTGGACAGCCATGTCATTAGCACATTTTGATGCATCCCCATTTCCTCCCCACTCCTGAGGGAAGGATATTGCAAAATCTCCATTCCCACTCCACTCTGGGACCAGCCAGAGGTGGTATTTGCCGGTTCTCTGAACTACTCAAAATTTCCACTACCGGTTCTCCAGAACCTGTCAGAACCAGCTGAATTTCACCCCTAATCTGTGGTCTTTGATCACAGTAATAAAATTTCCTCTGTTGATGAAACACAGAGGTCTTGCTTATTTAGCTGTAACTAAAATAGCAATACAATACAATATAATACAATAACAACATAAAATAAAATAGCAGTAACTGCGACAGGGATCTTGGAGTCCTAGTGAACAATCACTTAAATATGAACCAGCAGTGTGCAGCAGCTGCCAAAAAAAGTCAATGCAATCCTAGGTTGAATTAACAGAGAGATAGAATCAAGATCATGTGAAGGGTTAGTACTACTTAACTACCTTGGTAAGACCTTACTTGGAATACTGCATCTAGTTTTGGACACCACAATATAAAAAAGATATTGAGACTTTGGAAAGAGTGCAGAGAAGAGGGGCAAAGATGATTAGAGGTCTGGAGGCTAAAAGATATGAAGAACTGTTGAAGGAACTGGGTATGTCTAGTTGAAAGACTGGGGTAATAGGATAGCAGTGTTCCAATATTTGAGGGGCTGCCCCAAAACGAGAGGGACAACCTATTTTTCAAAGCAACGAAGGTAAAACAAGAAGCAGTCATTGAAAACTAACCAAAGAAAGAAGCAACCTAGAACTAAGGAGAAATTTCCTGACAGTGAGAACAATCAACCAGTGGAACAGCTTGCCTTGAGAAGTTGTGGGTGCTCCATATATTTTAAGAAGAGACTGGACAGCCATTTGTCTGAAATGGTATAGGGCCATGACGGCGAACCTATGGCATACGTGCCAGAAGTGGCACACAGAGACATCTCTCCGGGCACACCAGCCGTTGCCCATTGCTCTTCTGGGTTCAGAAGACAGCTGGTCTTTGCACGCTCATGCACACCAGAAATCGGAAGACTTGGTGACCGGCGTGCATGTGCATGCCAGAAACCAGAAGCTTAGCTTCCTGGCATGCGCACACATGCTGAGGACCTGCTGTTTGGGTTTCTGGCACTGTCCCACATGCACCCATGAACTACCATTTTGCAACTTGGTGCCGAAAAGTTTTGCCTACACTGGTACATGGCCTCCTGCTTGATCAGGAGGATGGACTAGAATTCCTCCAAGGTTTCTTCCAACTCTGGAAGCTGAAATAAGGTAAGGCTTAATTTGTATCTTTGTAGAGTGCTAGCCGGACTTTTAAAACAAGATAATTTTTATCTTGTCTCCTTTAGTCTGGGATTCTTGAATTTTCCTCTCTTTTACTACAGTACTATTAGTTAAATGAAATACCCACTTGAATGGTTATTTTTTTCATTAGCAGTCCCTTTTTCTTTATAATTTATATTGCTGAATTCTGCCAGACCTTCCTGTCTAATTTCCTGTGAGAAATCCATAATGGGCATTATTTTATCCATGCCAAGGTGGGGCTTTGTTATTTGTTTGCAAATGTTACATCAACCAATCACATAATCAATGAAAAGACTCTAATGCATATATATTTTTAAAATGTTAATTGTTATTTTTGATATTTATCATTTTGTGGCCATTCAATAAGTTTTATAAACTGTCTTAAAAAACTAAAACTGCAGTGGAAAATGAGGTAGAAATGTTATTAGTAAAGATAATTTGAAAAAGATTGAGAAAGATGCAATACTTGAATAAAGGCATTAAGACACGTTATTAATATGAATCTCTTTCTTGGAATGGAATTTTTTTTACAAAAGTTAGTGCAATTCTAAATGAAGTACTAAAAATGTTGCTCTAGCAGGAGACTTAATGGACCCTAGATATCTTCCGCATTTATGATCATCTTATGCTAATATTATTCTATTTTTATACACATAGTACTTGTGTTTGGAGTGTACAGTTTGGGGATTTTCCTGAAAGTGTGGCTTCTGCTTGAAGAATAGGTGATAGCTCTGGCTACGAGAGCTTTTGTACATCTTATGTGCTGCGTGCCAGTTGCATTTGTTCCTGGACCAAGATGATCTGTTCACAGGGACTCATAAATCACCACTCAAATGGATTGCTGTACAGTGCTTTATAGAACTACAATTGAAGAGCATCCGGAAGATGCAGTTGGTTCAAAAGGCAGTAGGACAAGCAATTGTGAGCAGTCTTTAATACCACACTTCTACTCCACAATTGGTTGACAGAATGCTTTTAAATTCAATCCAAAATGTTTATACATTGATACCTATAAAGCCCTTCACTGCATGCATCTGGGTTATTTGAGGAACTATCTCTCTCCAATTTATTTTCATCAGATTCAGCAGGAGAGGCATGCTAGTGGTTGGCTTCTAATTAAAGGGAACCCAGCAAGAGATCCATTTTGGTGATGCCACCTGCTCCTTAGAACATCAGCCCCTCTGGAGATTGGATTATCCCTGACCTTGTTGGCCTTTCATAAGACTTTAAAGCCGTGGCTGTATCATCAGTCACAGGGCTGGAAAATGTCACAGTGCCCCTGAGATGGTTATGTTGATGGCAGTTGTGGTTTTACCTCAGCGTCCAGATATGAACTAATTGTTGTGGTCTTTATTAAGTTGGATTTTAATCAATGTAAAAATTGTTTAATCACTCTTGACTTCATAATGATATGGAAAGAAAAATAAATAAAATATAATATAATAAAGTAAAATAAAACCTTGGAATGAGTTCAAGTAGTCATGCTGAGCATTCTGATGGATTTGGCTGCCTCTATATTTCAAGAAGATATGTTTCCTTTCCAAAGCTTTTAAATGTTTTGCACTGCTATATTACTTTATTGATTTTTCCATGTGAAGATTATATAGAATTACCCTTAGATCACAGCAATTTTCTGTTTCGAATCAAACAAACATAGTTTATGCTTTTTTGTTCTGTGTTTTTCCCCCTCACCTGTGCCTGACTTTTTAAAAGAAACGGATTATTGATATACTTTGCACGTTGTATTTTTCTACCCATTTTTCTCCCCCTACTGAACTGAATGTAAAAGAAACTAAGAAAAAGCCATCATTGTCATGTTAAATTGTTGGTTCGTCCACAAGCTAGATGAAAGTACAAAAGGCAACTGATAAATATTAATAAATGTCAAGTATAAAATGGAACTTGTTTTAAAATGTCAAAAACAATCCATGTGAAGAGAATTGGTAGTTATTTTCTTTCATTATTTTAACATTAGCTAACAGTGGTCAAGTGCATGTGAAAATCTATAACCATGCAGGGAAAGAACACAATTTTGTATGTACAGATATCATATAATTAACACATACAAGATGACATATTAATGGCCTTTAATTATTCCTGCAACACTTATAAGTATGTAATTTTCCAGGTGCAAAAGTAGTAATTAGGAAGATAAGTAGTACAAGCTGTTGGATGTGAAATTAATAGGTATATTTTGACCGAATAAGCACAAATTTGGCATATTCCCTAAGGAGCTGATGTTTTGAAAATATTTCTTCAGAATTCTAATATCAATGTATCTTAATTGTTAGGGATTTGGGGGAACCTAAATCATTAAAATTCCATTGACATGTGGCGAAGCAAAAGGAAGCTATAATTCCACAAGAGTGATAAATACGAAGTGGGAACTGGCTTCATTAGCGCCAATAAAAAAAACCATCAGTTTCCAAGAGGACTAAGTTAGAGAACTTTAAAGCCTACTGATGTTCATTCCAATGAAATAACTACCTGGGATTATTTACTGGATCAAATTAGCTACTTACTTATGCTGATAATCTGTTCCCAATTTCTGTAGTTCCAAATCAGCTTGTAGTTAAAAGCAGAAATAGTGTCAAATGCATTCCATTGGGCTTGATTTAAAATGAACTTATTCTTCTGGGTTTTTACAATTTATGTATTTTGAAAAAAAATCTGGTCTAGACACCTGTAGCTTCTTTCCTTTCCCTTTTTCCATCTTGAAAAATAGAAGAATGAAAACTGCAGGAAGAGCTGGGGATAACAGAGACTTGATCCTTACATTTCTTAATAGCACTTGACTTTCCATGAATTTTGGAAATGTCCTTGCCACTAGAAGTCTGGGATTCGAGATATCAATTGTGCAAATCAATCATGCCCAACTTAATCCATTGATGTAAGAAAATTTAAAGTATATAATTCCCATGAAGCTATGATAACTTACATCTAACACCTGTGCTATCATGAGAATTCTTCAATGCTACAGCCCATCCAAATTTTAGTAGTAATGTGGGATGAATTTATATTATGTATCTATATGTTTGGAGTCAGCTGGGATGGGTGTGATGGAAGATCAATTGCAAAATGTGTACTCCTACTTACAAGTCCTTTTATACCACCATTAATGCCATAGCTGAGTACAACTGTCGGAAATGACCAAACTGAGCCTGAGGGGTCAAACGTGTCATCAGTCTCGAGTTCTTTTGCACCCACAAAACAAGTAAGTTCAGCGCACCTTGAATTCCACTGATTCTTATCTACCGCCAATTTCCTTTGACTGTTAGTAGTTCAGATTTTTGTAGACAGCATGCATATGCAATAAACCTTTATATTCATTTTATATATGGACTTCCTGATTTCCCTGTGCTTGACCATGACCCCAGAATTGTACGTAACAATTAAAAAAATATTACTATTATCATGGTGTCCCTAACCAATAGGACATTTTTCCAAGTACAATATTTTTATCCAGCAGAAATATCCCAAGAGGGCAGTGTTGAAATACTTGAATGACAAAAGATTGGCTACTTCATTCCTTAAACAATGTCCCCCAATTAAAATCAAATACCTCTTCAAGAACATCAGCAAGTTTACTAAGGATCTCTTCAGGAAGGCTCTGGAATGTTGGAACACTGTAAGAAAAAGATGAAAATATCGTGTGAGTTGATGTAATTTTAAATTTTTATCTCTTGAGAAAAGCTCCAGAAGAATAAAATAAAACAAACCTGTAGAATATACAAGTCTATTTTAACACACATGCAGTAAGGAAACTCAATATAGATTGTCCTTGACTTACAACCATTCATTTATTGACCATTCAAAGAACATCACTAAAAAGTGACTTATGATCCTTTTTCACCCTTACGACTGTTGCAGCCTCCCCATGGTCATTGATCAAAATTTAGATGCTTGGCAACTGGCATGTATTTATGACAGCTGCAGGTTTTAAAGGTCATGAGATCACCTTTTGCGACCTCCTGACAAGCAAAGTCAACGGGAAAGCCAGAAACCATGTCAGTGACTTAAAACTTCAGTGATATACTTAACAAGCATGACGAGAAACGTTGTAAAATAGAGCTAAACTCATCACTTAACAACTGTCTTGCTTAGCAGCAGAAATTTTGGGCTCAATTGTGGTCATAAGTTGAGGACCACCTGCATTTAACAATATTTTTGACTGTATTTCACAATAAAAAAACCCCAATTTTAAAGAATCAAAAATACATTTCTTGTTTGTTCTCAATATTATTTCTAACCATGTAGTCAATATACTAGACCAGTGATGGCGAACCTATGGGATGCATGGTGGAAGTGGTGCACAGAACCATCTCTCTGGGCATGTGAGCTGTCACCCATTGGTCTTTGGGTTCCAGCGCGCGCATGTGCACCGGCCTCCTGGTCTTCCAGTTTCTGGTGCTTCCGCGCACGTGAAGACCAGCTGGCCAGGGTGCATGCACATGCCAGAAACCAGAAGAGCAGCCACTGGTGCGCGCATGTGCAGCGGCTACCTGCTCTTCTGGTTTCTGGCACATGCATATATGTGCACTCCCGTTTCAGCGCTTGGTGCCGAAAAGGTTCACCAATACTGTACTGGACTTGTATTATATAAAATCATTCATTGTGGTTTGACACTTTCCCATTGTGATTTTTTTACTAGCATTCAGAATGGAAATAGAGATGCACCTCATAATGCTCATATATAAGGCAGAGGATCCTAAAAAACAGCAAAAGGGGAAACAGTGATATGTGCATACCACTTTTGATGCTTCACTGTGACGTCCTTGACATGAAATATTAACCCTAAATGCAGAACACTAAAATTACTTGTACTGTACTTAAAACTGCTTCAGAGTTAACATATCCTAACCATTCAACCATAGTTCAGCCTATCATCAGTTTTCTTATCATAATCTGGAATTTTTCTAAACATTGTCTTTGTCTTACTGTTACAAGCTACATAATTTTGTTTATTTTGATCCTTTGCTGAATTAAAAATTTTGCATCAAATGCTTTGGGACATAAAATATTGAGATACAAAATATTAATATAACACATACAATCACATGATACTTTAATAATATTTAATAAATGTCAGCTACATTTCTATTGAATCATGACTGATCTAAAAGTTTATAGATATTTTTAAAGAAATTTTTCAAATTTAAACATTAAAAAAACTTAAACTTTTAAAGATCTTTAAAAAAATATTTAAGCCAATTATAATTGCAACAGGGAATGTATACAGTATCTTCAGTACTGAATCAAATGCTAAGATATTTATTTCAATATTGGATAAATATTTCCATATAGATCTATTGTATGACAAGAAAAAGATATAAAGCAGGAGATCATAAATGTTCGACTCCCTTTATAGATTATTCAAGAAAGTTCCACTCTCCATTTAGAAAAATCAAGTACAGGTAGTCCTTGACCATAATTGAGCTCAAAATTTATGATGTTAAGTGAGAATTTATTATGAGTTTTGCCACATTTTATGACATTTCTTGCCACAGTTGTTAAATGAATCACTGCAGTTGATAAATTAGTAACCTGGTTGTTAAGTGAATCTGGCTTCCCTATTGAATTTGCTTGCCAGAAAGCTGCAAAAAGTGAACACATGACCTTGAGATGCTGCAACGGTCATAAGTATGAGTCAGTTGCCAAGCATCTGAATTTTGATCACATGATCATGGGGCTGCTGCAAAGGTGTAACTGTGAAAAATGGTCCTAAGTCACTTTTTTGGGGGCCGTTGTAACTTTGAACAGTCAACTGTTGTAAATTGAGGACTACCTGTACATTTAATGAAAGAATGCAGTACTACAGTACTTACTATATACATTGGTTATTTTCACTTTATCTGGCTCTGTATAACAAAGTTACAATTAACAGAATTTAAGCAGATTAACTCACTGCATTCTATTGAACATGGAACAATATTTCTATTTTTCTTAACAGACAAGGATATAGTGATACCGGGGTGAAATGCTACTGGTTCGCACTCGTACAGGTGAACCGGTAGCAGCGGGGGTAGGTGGATGGGAGAATTGGTAGCGGTGGCAGCGCAACACTCTGCCCACCTGGCCAGATGTCATTACTTCCTGGTTTTAACCAGGAAGTAACCTGTTTTTGACTCTCTGCACATGCACAGAGGATCCAAAAACACACATGACCCTTGTGCAGCGCACGCACTTCCAAACCGGTAGGGAAGGTAAGTAGATTTCACCCCTGAGTGATACACATATGATACAACCTCAATTGGGACGTCATGATAATGTCTTTTTGTACCTATTTCTTGCTGTCAGATAAAACCCTAAAAATCACAGGGTTTCTTTTGGAGATAACACAAATTGTTTTCTCTCTTGTGTTTTCGCCTCTTTAGTTTTCTTCTGAGGCGTATGCAATGAAACTGCCAGAATGATGTACAAAAATATATACGTTTTATGCAGATTTCCCTTTGATTTCCCTCAATCAATTCCTTAATTGGACATTAGTGACAAAAATGTTTTAATTTTAGTATTGAACACTTAGTGTATGGAACAAATTAAGTTCACATATAAGTAGGGAAAATGGGGGGTGGGGGAAGGGAGAGGAATGTTTGAAGTTCAGGCTGTTATTTCAGCCAAAAGGCAGATAAATAGGCAATTAGACATGTTGACAAAGCATCAATCCAAATAAATAATACCGCAGAGATTACAAAAGTAATAGCGTGGTAAACAGAAAGCTTCTAATAAGCGTTATTGACAACACAAAGAGGCTGAATAGGCTCCAAAATGAGTAGAAAGGAGCAAAAAGCATGCAATATTTGTAGAAATGCATAGATTTAAACAATCATACTAAATCAAAATGAACGTGACTTATTTACTTATTTATTTAAAGCATTTACAGAGCCATCCATTTTATACCAAATTCTGAGTGTCTCCCTATTGAGTTTGAAGGCAATATCAATATCAATACTAAAACAACGTAAAAACCATATTAAGACCATAAAGATTAAAAACAAAAAGCTGGCATCAAGTTAAGCTTCTGACATGTAGTCATCTCATCCTATCACAGTGCTTGGGGCAGGGGTGGTATTCACTTACTTTCCCTACCGGTTCGCAAATGTGAACATGCATACACTTTTGCTTCGATCGCATGTGCCCCGTCCATGCATGCGCCCGGCCTTGCACACATGCAGTTTGCTGGCACGCACAACTTCCATGTATGCACTTGACCTCAAAAATGTGCCTAAATAGGATGCATAGAACCGGGGCAGGGGGGCGGGCAGGTTTTCTGCTACCGGTTCAGGCAAACCTGTCCAAACCGGCTGAATTCCCTCTGCTTGCGGGGAAGGTGGGGACAAACAAGTTCATTAATGCTCTTTGGAAGGCCTACCAAACTTCGGAAGAAAGTGTGTTCCAGTACTCCAACACAATAATTTGTCACCAAACGGGTAAATCCAACCTGTCCTTCCAAACCTGTGTTGGGATATCACTGCATGTATGATACACAACGATTTGTAGTGTGGATATTTATAAATATATTCTTAATTAAGATCTAGTTAAGGCAGTACCAATTATCACTTTGTATTTATTTATGACCTGTCAAAGGCTTTTTACATCATTGTTACATTATCTTGTATGTCTGTGTGTCTATGAGTACAATTTTTGAAGAAATGTAGTATTAGAATCTATATATATATAAAAGCCAAATACCATTCACTCATCATGAAATCTCCAGAAAAAGTAAAGCCTACAAACTTGAAATTTGGCATGTATGTTCCTCTTGGCTTCTAAGTGCTCTCTAAGAAAGGATTTTTCAAAATGACTATCAGATCACTGGTATTTCATATACAGTATTATATTCACATGCTCTGATGCTAAGGAGTTAGACGTTCTACTCTCCCTCCAAACCTGAAAGAAACTCTGTCCCAACTGCCAGTTGCCTTATATTAACACGCTCTGATGCTACCCCTTCACTAAACCAGGTGTGACCAGGTTTAAGCCACAATTTAAGTTGCCTTATATTAACACGCTCTGATGCTACGGAGTTACACATTCTACATTAAGTTTCAGGCTTTAAGTGTCAATTTATCACAATTTATCTGTTTCATAGGGAAGCACGGGCGTCCAGCTAGTTCTTTATAAACAACACATAAACATTTCGTCATACTCAACACATTGACCTCATCACAAGTAAATTTATTATCACCTGATTACCTTTGTCTCTCTGGGTGAAGTCATTTTAAGGAACATACCCAAGAATGCCTCTTAGATCCCTTAAAAAGATAGTTGTTAAGTAAATAACCTCAAAACAGAAATGATTTGTGGTCAGTATCATTGTTATAAAATGATACCCTCAGCATCTGGATCTGCAGATTTCTACATGGCAACACCAGTTCCTAAGAGTGATATTACTTCTAACAAGATAATACATTTATCGTTAGGGACGTCTGCATAGATAGCTTCTTCATTACTCAAGGGAGTTAGAAACACTGAATCCTGACAGCAGAAACTAATAAACTTTATGGTCTTTGGCAATCTACTTGTCCTACAATTGCTTTTCAAAAGGGATGGAAAGGATGGGAATGCAGCTTAGATAGAGTTTTCTATCCCAGAAGCCCGTATGTTAAATGTAAATAATTACTTCAGC